ACTTCTAAATGGGGGGAGAAAACAAATTTATACAACATTTTAGAATAACTGGTTGTCTCCCTTAGCTACAGGTGGGCACTACAGTACTGGAGACCAAGATTTGAAGTCTTACATCTGAGCAGCACTTTCTGGTTAGGAACAAAATCATCAGTGAGAAATAATTTTTATAGACTTTTATAGACTTAAGACTAATGTCTGGGAAGTGTAATTCCTTGAACTCTTAAAGAAGTGTACTGATGACTTTACTCTTTGGTTATCCTTTCTTTTTGGGTATTTAAGACCATACAATTGGCCCAAGTAAATCAATTTATTTTTACACTTAAGCTCATTTGAGGATCTGTTCCTCAGGGGTCACATGGGCTTGGGAGGAGCTCCTGGCTCCTTTCTGGTAAAAAGAATTTACCAGTTCCAGATATGTGAAGATAAGTCAAAGGTCTTGTTCAATCATGTCTGGCTTCACTTGGAAGCATGAATGTTTCCTCTAAGTTGACCCTCCTCTTTGTAGAGTGGACACTGGTTCAAGTCTATCTCGTGGAGTCTCCATGTCCTCCCTGAACAAGTGGACAGGTGACTCACCACAGTTACAGGACATTTTGAGAGCTGTTCCATAGTTCCTCAAACTTAGTCGACCTTGGAGGGAAAGGGGCAAAAACTGTTAAGTCCCTCTGACCACATTAGTATAGGCCTTAAAGTATGGCTGTTAAACATCCAGTAAGGTTAGTTCCACCAGTCTGATATTTTTAATTATCATGTGCTATGTATATAAGGCTTAAAGAACCAAATATTCTCCAATAAACATTGACTAGATTTATATTTTGTTCCTAAATCTGGTCAATGTTTATCTGAGGATATTTAGTTCTTTACCTAAGCCTTATCTACATAGCACATGATAATTAAAAGTATCAGACTGGTGGAACTAACCTTATTGGATGTTTATCAGCCATACTTTGAGGCCTAAACTAGTGTGTCCCATATCCTTTTAACATCTTTTACATTCTCATTTTCTTCTTTTTTTAAAAAAATAATTATGAGACATAATAGCATTAACAAGTAAATTTTCTATCGGTTGTGAACTTCTTTTCCTGGGGATGCTAAGCAATGCTTATTCCCTTTCAAGGTTCTACTGTCGAGCCAATGTTTCATTAAAGTTTTACTGGGGAACCAAAGAATTTATTGAGCTTACTTACCAAGATAACTGAGGGGTTCCTATGACCTGAGAAAATAATTATGAGACATAATAGCATTAACAAGTAAATTTTCTATCGGTTGTGAACTTCTTTTCCTGGGGATGCTAAGCAATGCTTATTCCCTTTCAAGGTTCTACTGTCGAGCCAATGTTTCATTAAAGTTTTACTGGGGAACCAAAGAATTTATTGAGCTTACTTACCAAGATAACTGAGGGGTTCCTATGACCTGAGGGTATGCACACCGGATAGCATGGGTCATGCTTTCTCTTCCTAGTCTTCCCCAGACTGTATACTTTAGCCCTCCCCAAATCCAGGAGGCCATGTGTGATTAGGGTCAAATTACATACAATTGTCTGGGAAGAGTGGCTGGATACTCCAGTAAGGGTCCAGTGATACTCCCTGGATCTCCTTTAATGAATGAGCACAACCATCAACAAGCCCAATTGTGACATGTTTAGTGATCAGGCTCAGCTGAAGTCATGATGATGGTAGTTATTTTGTGTAGAAGGGACTGCTATATAGCATCATCTTACTAAAAGGAGCTGGAATTTAAAAGGATTTGGTGCTAGGACACACATATGAGGGAGAACATAGGTCATTTGTTTTTCTGAGTCTGTGTTACTCCACTTAGTATAACAGTTTCTACATCCATCTATTTACCTGCAAATTTCATTATTTCATCTTTCTTTACTGTTGACTAGAACTCCATTGTGTAAATATACCATACTTTTGTTAACCACTTATCAGCTGAGGGGCACTTAGGTTGCTTCCATCGCTTACCTATTGTGAAAAGAGCAGCAACAAACATGGTTGTACAAGTGTCTCTACAATAGGATGAGTCCCTTGGGTATATGCCAAGGAGTGGTATAACCGGGTCATATGGTAGGCTCATTTTTAGTTTTTTAAGAGTTCTCCACACTCTTTTCCATAGAGGCTGCACGAGTTTGCAATCCCACCAGCAGTGAATGAGCATTCCCCTTTCTCTACATCCTCGCCAACATTTGATATCATTTGTTCTCTTGATCCTAGGGAATCTGGTTGGAGTAAGATGATACCTTAGGGTGGTTTTAATTTACATTTCCTTAATTACTAACGATGTTGAACACGTTTTTAAATGTTTCTTAGCTATCTTTATTTCTTCCCTTGTTTAGATCTTTAGCCCATCTTTTAATTGTGTCATTTGGTTTCTTGCTTGTTTTTGAGTTCTTTATGTATTCTGGATGTTAAACGTCAGTCAGATGTGTCACTGGTGAAGATTTTTTCCCACTCTGTGGGTTTTCTCTTCACTTTTTTGATTGTTTCTTTTGCTGTACAGAAACATTTTAGTTTAATGAGGTCCCACTTATTGATTGCTGACCTTAATTCCTGAGCAATTTCTGATTTAGAAAATCCTTTCCTATACCTTTATCTTATAAGTTACTGTCAATATTTTCTTCTAATAGTTTCAGGATTTCCAATTTCACATTGAGGTCTTTGATCCATTTGGAGTTGACTTTTGTGCAGCTTTCCTTATTTTTCTTTTCTTCCTTAAGTTGCTCCTATTATTGTTATTATTATTTGCAGTGCTGGAGTTAAACACAGGGACTCCTGCGTGTTATGCACACACTCTATCACTGAGCTATGCACAACTCCAGCCCTCTTTCTTTTTAATCATGCAAGTGCTGGGATTCTAGGTATGCACCACACACGGTGGAATGGATTGTATGACAAGACAAACAAATCCTACGGCTTCCTTTCTCACTGAGGACACATTTGGCTGATGCTGCATGGGACCAGCAATGTAGTGACTTTACACTAAAGTGTTACTTCACCAACAGAATAGTGGACTTCTGGCCGAATTTTACTAGTTAATATGAAATCTAAGAAAAACAAAATGAAACGAAATGAAATAAAACAAAACCCAAAGTCCCTACATGGTATTTGGCTACCACTCTAGGGTACTAGACATGTCCTCTAGTAGACTTCACAAATGATTAAAAAAAAATTGTTTATTTTAATTTTATGTGCATGAATGTTTTGCCTGCATGTATGTGGGTGCACCCATGTCATGCAATGCCTGTGCAGGACAGAAGGAGTCAGGTCCCCGGGAACTGGAGTTACAGACAGTTGGTGCTGGGAACTGAACTTGGGTCCCCTGTAAAAGCAGACGGTGCTCTTAACTGCTGAGCCATCTCTCTAGTCCCATGATTTTTAAAAATGTAATATATGCTTTATCACTGGAAGTTTTTTTTATTATTGTGTATGTATGTGGTGTATGAGGTCAAGAGCACATGTGCCATGGTGCACATGTAGAAGTCAGAGGACATCTTTTGGGAGCCAGTTGTCTCTTTCCATTATGGGTCCTGGGGACTGAACTCAGATTGTTGGGCTTGTGCAACAAGTGTTTTTACCCACTGAGCCATCTTGCCTGCCTCAGAATGATTCTTCGTTTAAGAAAATATAGGGTGTCTTGGTATTTGTATTATAATATATGATCTCGGAATTTATGTAGTCCAGAAAAATCTGCTCACCAAAACACCTGTGAGGCAAACCCTTAAGGTGCACTTCATACTTAATGAATACTCTAAAATCCTGTCATAGTATATAAGGTATTTATTTTATAATAAAATAGGTAAAATACAAAGTATAGGAGGTTTGTACTTTTTACTGAAATCTATTAATTTAACATGAGTTAAAATAAACATTAAATTATGTATATTTGAAAATGTCTAGCACATGATTAAAATGAACCTTTTCTTTCCATGAGAAAAAGTACTTCGGGAGTAAATAAGGACACAGCAACCACGCCCACGCAGAGCACTAAGTCCTGGCTGCGATGTGTCATGGTGGGAGAGGGTTTGTCTAGCACATGAGGCTCTGAGTTTGGTTCTAGCACCACAAAGTACTACGTCTTCATCTTCTGCTTCTTAGACCATTCTGGCACTTCCTTCTTAGTCTGAAAAAAAGCAAAGGCAAAACCAAATCAAATACAATGCTTACAAAGAGAGAGGCAATTTGGAGAATGACATATCTACGTGTGGGGTACTTTGTGAAGGTTATACTAAAATCTGCTTCTCCTTTTAATTCATAAACTCCTTTGTAAGAAATGATCTCCCCTATCTGGTTAAGTGGATGTTAGTGCAACTAGATTTTTGGAGGCTCTTGGTGAGCTTAACTCTGGGTGCTAGGGTCCCAGATAATGAGCCGTCACCAAAACTCCCCTGAGCCAGAGACTTCTGAGTTCATTGTCTCACACCCAGAAATAATACGGAAACTTAGATGAGTAAGCAGGCTGATCGTAGGTTTATTAAGGAAAGGTGGGAAGGTACTTCTGAGAGTTGGAGGGGCTCCAAGAAAAGAATGCCACTGTAACACAAATAAGGAGGTCAGAGGACAACTTGAGGGAGTTGGTTCTCTCCTTCTACCATGTGGGTGATGGGGACAGAACTCAGGTCATCAGGCTTGTGTGTCAAGCACTTTTATGGGCTGAGCCATCCTGCTGACCCCTATTTTTTTTTTTTTCTTTTTTCTTTTTTGCAGGTTTGGGGCTTGAACTCAGGACCCTGGACATACTAGGCAAGCACTCTACCACTGAACTACATTCCAACCCTTCAAAGCCTGTTTTTAATATACTCTACAGAGGTGACTATTTTATAAATTGATCCTCCTTTCAGAGAGATTTAGAGAAAAGCAGCCACAATTCTGTTAGTTATCTCACTTACACGGATCTGGATATTCATTTATGCAACAGATACTGATTGAGGAATTCCTCTATTCAAGTTATTATGTTTGCATCATCTGAACTGTTGTGTAGTTGCCATAGTACTTCTTGGGTTTGTTTGTTTTTTTGACACAGTTTCTCACTTTGTAGCCCAGGTTGGTTGCCTGGAATTCATTATAATATAGTCCAAGTAGGCTTTGAACTTCTGGTCATGCTCCTGCCTCAGTCTTCTGAGTGCTGGGGGTACAGGTATGAGCCACTATGACTGGCTTACTTCTTGGGTATACTGCTCGATCATTTCAAGGTACAATTACCCAAGGTGTATTAACAGAAAACAGGAGAGATGAACTGCTACAGAACTGTCAGAATTTTTAAAGTCACTAATTCTAATAATAATATCTTATTTTAAGCTGGGTATGGTGGCACACACCTGTAATACCAGCACTTGGAAGATGGACACTGGAGGATCCAGGGGCTCAAGGTCATCCTGGACTACATAGTGAGTTCAAGGCTGGCTTTGGCTATACAAGACTTTGTGCCACATCTCCCAATCACATCTTATAATTTTCTATATTAAGTATTCAATTTTCTCAATTACCACTTAGATCTACTTAAACTTATGAAGAACCAAATCTTGAAAATCACATGTACATACTTTTTTCCTTTCCTATTGATGCTGGGGGATGGATGGAAGCCAGGGCCTCACACATTCTAGCAGAGTGCTCTCTACCACTAATGACCATTTCTCAGTCCTACTTTTTTCTTCTTTAGATTGTTTCATGTCATAATGAATGTACACAATTTTGAAAGTGTATCCATGTTCACCAGCTCCTCCCAACCTTATCCATGACCTTGGCCAGCATCAGTTACCACCTGTGGCCTTGACCCCTCATCTGTATGCCATGCTTCCAGCTAGAGCTACAACCAGAACCATTAGACTTCTCTTCCTCTTAGCATTCACCTGTTATCTGCTGTATCCATTCTAAACAGTCTATTTAAAATTTTAGTTTATTTATTTTATTTTATGTATGAGTGTATTGCCTGCACAAATGTAAGTGCACCTGTGTTGTGCAATGCCTATGGAGGTCGGAAGAGGGCATCGGATCCCCTGGATCTGGAATTAGGATGGTTGTTAGCTGCCATGTGGGTGATGGAAATTGAACCCGCATCCTCTGTAAGAGCAGTTAGTGCTCTTAACCACTGACTCATCTCTCCAGCCCCTCTATAAACAATCTCTTAACTTTCACTGAAAAATTTTTTAATCCTCCCTCTCCCTCCACAAGCCCAGCTCTGGACACAGGGTTTCTCTATGTAGCCTTGGGTAGCCCAGACTATGTGGAACAGGCTGACCTCAAAAAACTTGTGGTGATCCCCCATCCTTTGCCTTTTACATGCTGGGATTATAGGCATGTACCACTATACCCAGATTTTTTTTGAGATTAGGGCCTTGCCATGTTGCCCAGGTTGGCCTCAAACTCATGGGAATCTTCTTGCCTCAGTTTCCTGAGGCTATATTTTCAAGGGTATACCATCATGCCTTATTCTTTTCTTAAAAATTTTCTTATTTATTAATTACTAATTATTATTATTATTTGTGTGTGTGTGTGTGATATGTATATATGTGAGGCCATTGTGCATGCCATGGCTTGTGTGAGGTCAGAGGACAACTTTGTGGAGTTGGTTCTCTCCTCCTACAGTGGGTTCCAGGGATCTAACTCAGGCTGTCCTGATTGCAGAGTAAGTACTTTTATCCACTGAGTCATCTTGTTGTGCGTTCTTGTTTTTTTTTTTTTGAGACAGGGTCTCATGTGGTTCAGGCTGGCTTTGAGCTCACAGTGTAGCCAAAGGATGACCTTAAATTCCTTATCTTTCTATCTCCATCTCCTGAGTCCCAAGTTTATAGGTGTACATCACTATGTCTGGCTGGAGCTCTACTTTATTAACTGGTGCTGTAAAATGAAGTTATCTTCTGGCTGGGAATTTTATCAGTCCTACTGACCTGATTTTATTTCTTAAGACTTTGTTTAGAGCAGATTTTAGTGCACAGCAAAACTGAAAGGAAGGCTTAGATGCGCCACCTACCCCAGCACATGCTTAGCCTCTTCTGTCATCTACACCGTTTACCACAGTGGTGCATCTGTTACAGCCACTGAACCAACACTGACATGTTAATGCTCAGGCCAGACTTTACAGAAGGGTTCATTCCTGGTAGAAATTCTGTAGCTTTAAACAAATATCTAAAGATATGTATACACCATCACAGTATCATGCAGATTAGTTTTTTTTTTTTTTTTTTTTTTTTTTTTTTTTTTCTTTTTTGTGACAGGGGCCCCTTTTCCCCCCGGCTGTCCTGGAGCTCACTATGTAGACCAGGCTGGCCTTGAACTCACAGAGACCCGCCTGCCTCTGTCTCCCAAGTGCTGGGATTAAAGGCGTGTGCCACCACGCCCAGCCGCAGATTAGTTTTTAAAAAATATTAATTGGATATTCAAAAATCCAATATTCAATTTTATCCAGTGTCAGAACTGAGGCTAATATAGGGGGCAGCTGCCAAATACTCTCATTAATATAAGGCACATTTAGATTAAAAGTTAACAGCAGAGATAAATTTGTTCATTAAACCACCTTTCATAAACATCATTTTGTGACTTCCCATGGGAATGCATAGTTTATTGAGTGAATGACTCAAATAAATAATTGTAAAAAGTGTAGAGGCTTCGGGTTGGGGATGTAGTTCAGTTGGTAGGGCACTTGCCTAGCATGAATGAAGCCCTAAGACCAATCTCCTGTAATACATAAAACCAGGCATGGTAGTGTATACCTGTAGTCCTCACACTAAAGAACTGGAAAGATGGCTGAGCAGTTAAGAGCATCGGCTGCGCTCTTCTGAGGATCCAGGTTTGCTTCCCAGCACTTACATGGTGGCTAATGACTTTCTGTTAACTCCAGTTCTAGGCCCTCTTCTAGTCTCTGCAGGCATTCCACGCATGTGGTGCACCTACATATATGTAGGCAAAATACTCATACACACAAATAAAAATAAATTTTCTTAAAGAAGAAGTGGAGGCAAGAGGATAGAACCTCATGATCATCCTCAGCTGTATAGCTAGCTCTTGTGCTTTTTGGGAAGAAGAGGTGGTTTTGAGACAAGGTCTTATATAACATAGGCTGGCCTTGAAGTCACTATTGAATGCCTGATCCTCCTGCCTCCACCTCCCGAGTGCTGGGATGCATCACCACATCCAGCAACATTTCTACTTTTAATTTTTTAATTATGATACCTGGGTACCATATTATTTATTTTTTTGTTGAGACTAGCCTTTAACTATGTGAAACCTGAGCTGTGTGAAAACTTATCTCAACAACAATAAAAATGTATAGTCTTTAGGTTCTTAAAAAGAACACCAAAAGAAACCTTGAGGTGTTAGAACAGACATCCTAGAGTAGAGGTGATTGAGCTGAGGCCTGAGAAACAAACAGAAGTGAGCTCCAGAGGCTAGGAGGACATCAAATACTACATACTGTTAATAGTGGCTATCTATTAAGCTGAGCATGGTGGTGCAGCCCTGAGGCAGGAGGATCACCAATTTGAGACCAGTCAGGGCTTAACCATAAACCCTTGTTAAGAAGACTGTCTTCTAGATCCCTTGTATGCCTCCTTAACTCCATTTTCAAATGCTTGGCGAGAATGACCCTGCCTTCCCCCCCACTGTTTCTCATGGGGGGTGTCTCTCATCTCCAGTTCCTTTAGCCATCAATTCCTTCTCCATCAACACCTTGCTAATTTCTGACTGAATTAACATAAGCCTATAGCTTCTTCCCTTCATTCCAGTAATTCATCTTTCACTGTTGTCTAGGGAAACAAAGGAGACCTCACAGTATTCTACACTTGCTGCTTAGCTAGTATTTATCACCCTATAGTATAGACATGGCTTCTCATTACTAGACTGTGGAACAATCAACCCTGTGTGTAGAGTAAAGTAAGCCTTAAGAATAAATGAATAGCCATGTGTGGTGGCCCATGCCTTTAATCTCAGCACTTGGGAGGTAGAGGCAGGCAGATCTCTGTGAGTTCAAGGCCAGCCTGGTCTACATAGCCAGTTCCAGGCCAGAATGTCCTACAGGTCTAAATGACTGTTATTGTTTGAATATGAAAGGTCTCCAAAGGCTTATGTATTAAACTTTTAGTCCCCAGGTGGTGGCACTCTTTGAGAGGAAGGGCCTAACTGGACAAAGTGGGCCACTGGGGGCCTGCCTTTGAAGGTTATACCTGGTCCCCAGACCCTGCCTCAGGATTTGTTTCTATCTGTTCTGAGTTGAGTAGCCTTTGCCAGATGTACCACCTGCCATGATGCTCTGACTTACCATGGGCCTAAAATAACAAAGTTGGTCATGAAGAACTGAAACTTCAGAAAATGTGAGCCCAGACAAATCTTCCCTCCTTTAAGTTGTTTCTGTCAAACATTTGGCCACAGCAATAAAACTGACTGATAGGACAATTCTGTAAGGGGTACTACATTTAAAAAAAAAAATTATTATTCTTAATTTTTTATTTTAAGTGTATGAATGTATAGCCTCCATGTAGGTAAGTGCACCCGTGTCATGCAATGCCCACGGAGGACAGAAGAGGCTGTCGGATACCCTGGAACTGGAGTTAACTGACTGTTGTTAGCTGTCATGTGGGTGCTGGGATTTGAACTTGGGTCTTCTGCAAGAACAACCAGTGTTCTTAACTGCTAAGCCATCTCTCCAGCCTGAGGTACTACACTTTTAAAAAATTTTGGGACAGAATCTCACTATGTAGATCTGGTTGAGCTGAAACTCCCTATCTCAACCAAGTTGGCCTCAAACCCCAAGGTAATCCTCCTGTCACTGCTACCCAAGTGCTAAGATTACAGGTGTGCTCCACCATGCCCAATTGAAATTAATATATAAACATGTTAATATATCAAGATACAACAAAGATGAACTTACTACGCTAAATGAAATAAACCAGTCACAGAAAGACAGATCTAAATTAGTCAAATTCTTAAAGAACAGAAAAGAAAATGGTTGTTACCAGTGTCTGGAGGAAGAAGGAAAAGGGGAGTTGTTTAATGGTCTACAGTTTCAGTTCTGCAAGATGGAAAAATTTCTAGAGATTTTTCTCATTAGATTTTGAATATATTTAGCATTACTAAACTGTACTATTCAAATGATTAAGATAACAGAGCTTATATGTTTTGTATTACAATAAAAACAAAAATTAAAAATGGGCTTTTTAACAAAATACCTTGAATGTTGGGTTTGGTGGCATGCATCTGTAACCTCAGCATTTAGGAGGCAGGAGGTTCAGAGTCAAGGTCAGGGTCTGGGGATGCAGCTCAGTTGGCGGCATGCTTGCCTGGCATGCACAGAGCTCTGGGCTTGATCCCTAGGTGCCACACAAGCCAGCAGTACACACCTGTAATCTCAGCACTTGGAAGGTGCAGGTGGAAGGATCAGAAGTCCAAGGCTGCCTTTCACTACACAGCAAGTTTGAGGTCAGCCTGGAATACTTGAAATCTTGTTTTGAAAGAGGGGGAGGGAGGGAAAATGGGAAGGAGGGAGGGAAAAGGAGGGAGAGGGAAATGAGGAAGAGAAGTGTTGTGTTTCCAATGCTAGTTACTTGAACTTCATTGTTAAAAAGATGTTATCTTACTGTATATTTTTCATTTTACCTAAATAGGACAAAAAAAATAACCCAATCTCATATGCATTTAACAGCTAAGTATGTTTTCATCAGAATTGATTTTACATAGAGTACTGTTATTTAAAACTCCCTCAAAGTGGTGGCTCATGCCTGTAATCCCAGCACTTGGGAAGCAGAGGTAGGAATATCCTGATTTTGAGGCCAGTCTGGGCTATAAAATGAGACCCTGCTTCACGAAACTAAAAACCAAGCCATAACAAAATACCCTTCCTCAATATTATCCTCTGTGGATAGAATCTAAGAGAAATCCAGCTGCTCAAATCTTGAGCAGGTGCTCTACACTTCCTTTGGTCTTAAGTGTTAGCTTTTCAGGGAGGCTAGACCTTTGCACCTTCACCTCCTTCCTATTTTAGTTTCCTTCACAGCATCTGTCATACCTTCACATCCTATACGATTCACTATGTTTATTTTTCAGACAGGATCTCATTGTGTAGTCAGATTGGCCCTGAAGTGGCAAGCCTCCTGCCTTAGCCTTCTGAGTGCTCAGATTACAGGCTATCAGTCCTGGCTCTTCAACAATGGTCTGCATTTTAGACAGTGAATCTTCTCTTTGTTTTTTTTTTTTTTTTTTTTTTTTTGCTTATTGAGTCTTGTGCTGATCTGAAGCTCTCTTTTCTGTGGCTCCCTGTACTCGCTCCCACTATCTAGGACTAACTCTGAAGTTCTTTGTTTTTTTTCTGTGGATGGAACTCAGGGCCTAGTGTATGCTTGGCTAGTGCTCTACCACTAAGCTACATCCCTGCCCCCAATTATTTAACTATTAACATTAAAAACTGTACAAATGTATGAGGTTGCTGGGCGTGGTGGTACATACCTTTAATCCCAGCACTTGGGAGGCAGACGCAGGCAGGCATCTGTGAATTCGAGGCCAGCCTCTAAATAGCAAGTTCCAGGTCATCTGGAGCTGTAGGGAGACACTATCTCAAAAAGACCAAACAAACAAACAAACAAACAAACAAACAAACAAACCAACCAACCAAAAAGGATGAGGAGGAGGTTGCTGCGTGATTATCTTAATGCCTAGAAATATTACTTAGCACAAAATCACAAACACATTTTGAATGAACAAATGAATGTGGGTCTGCCACAATAGAAGCTGCCACTTTATGTAAGTTTGGGCATGAGGTTCATGCAAGATGTTTCTCCTATGCAATATGAAAGAACATGCCAGGATAGTAAGGCAAGAACATGGCTCCAACTAATCAGGCAGGCATTATTCTCAGCATGGTGGGTAGTATTTACAATTCTAGTGACAGCCCAATTATCAAGGAAATGGTGATACCTAGCAAGTTACAGAAATATCATATTCTGCTGAATGAACTCAAACTCATTCTTTTTTTTTTAAAAGTCTTTTTGAGACAGGGTCTCCCTGTAGCCCCAGCTGTCCTGGAATGCACTATGTAGACCAGGCTGGCCTTGAACTCACAGCTCTTTTTTTTTTTTTTCAAAGACACTATATAGCCCTAGTTGGTCTGGAAGTTGTGGCAATCTTGTCTTTGCCTGAGGTTACAGCATATGGTACCATACCTGGTTCAAACTCATTCTTATCATTCAAAGATATGTAATGTTTAGTTCTGGAGATTAAGAATCTATTAGTGTTCAGCCAGCACAACTTCTACGAAAAGAAAGACTGTGCTTAGTAGACATAATTACTTTGTTTTCCAAAAGGTTACAGGCTGGAACCCAAATAAGAATTTCTAAGTCTTCACAGGCAGGGCCTAACTTCATCAAGTTGATAGTTGGCCTGGCTTTTTACTGACTAAACACAAGACTGTCTGAGATCATTTAACCCTCATTCCCTAATTCAATTCTCACTCAGAAATTTACTTCTAACAGTTTACTAGCCAAATTATATAAAGAAGCTACAATTGGTATTTCTGACATTACAGAGACTTTTATTTTTATTTTCATTTTTTCAGACAAGGACTCTCATTCTGTAGCCTAGGCTGGCCTAAAGCTTATTATGTAGTCCATGCTGCCCTTGAACTCATGGTACTCTTCCTTCCTCCACTTCACAAATGCTGAAATACAGGTAGGAGACATCATACCCAAATGAACTGGGTGTTTCTGAATGAAAGCCATGAAGCAGTGCTGCCTGCTGCACAAGCGCTGCTAACTCTAGTCCTGAGAGTCGCCGCTTGTACTTTCATTATCGTTTAGTTTAACATTAAGGGCCAAGAAGGTAACCAAATCAGGAAGACAACTGAGTTCTTCCCCTTCAGTAAGTGCGTACTGAGACAGCAGATGTGGAAAGGATGCACAGAAAAATGCCTTGAGTCAAGTTAGAGGAAGGAAGCTATGAGTAAGCAGAAGAGCTATGATGGATAGGGGAAAGCGCAAAGCCATGGCTGCTGAAATTCCAAGGCTGAAATTTCCAAGCCTTGTGTCAAGGCTCCTCAGATGAGGCTTCCTGCTTTCTTTATCATCTTGGCTTCCATTACAGCTGAATGCATCCTTATAGTAAGTTGTCCTTATTTGATGTAGGTTGTAGCTCTCTGTCTTTTTAGTTTTGTTTGTTTGAGTCAGGGCTCCCTGTAGCCCCAGCTGGCCTGGAACCTGCTATGTAGACCAGCCTCTGCCTCCAAAGTGCTGGGATTAAAGGTGTGTGCACCACACTCAGCTAACAAGTGCTATTTTTTATCCCTTTATTCTTATGTCAATTAAAACACTGTGCAGGGCGGACACCGAAACTTGGCCTCACACCTTCACATGTGGGCTGTAGCAGATGTGCCCCCAGCATTGACAGACATAAACACTCACACACACACACACACACACACACACAAATACACATTATATACACACATAAAAGATTAAAAATTATGCAGAATGCATTTCTGATTCCCTTATAATTCATCTCTGAAAGCTGGGGATAGAAAAGTGCTAGATTTAGGATAATTTCTAGGCAAGTTCAATATCTTAATTAAACATAAACTCTATCATCTGTAAGACAGATAATACAAACATTTAGGAAAAAGCAGTTAATGCAGACCTTTTAAGGCCTTTGCCTAAAACTATCAAAACTAACACCAAGGCATGGTGGCTCATGCCTTTAATCCCAGCACTTGGGAGGCAGAGGCAGGAGGATCTACATAGTGAGCTCTAGGCCAGCTGGGGCTACAGGGAGACTGTGTCTCAAAAAGACAAAAACAAAAAACAAAACAACAACAACAACCCCCCCAATCCTCTTAAAACAAGTTCAAAATATATATGAATGAGAAGACATTTTTAGTAGAAATGAGAGATCAAAATTTTAAACATTTCTAGTTGTACTTACAAACAGTGTTGGCTTGGGTATAAATATATTATCCTCACATTCCCTAGGCATGTTCAAAGTCTTTGATGCTTGCTTTTCTGTCATAGTTCTTGATTCTGTTTTAGTAAGAAGCACGTTCTCAGAGTGTTTACTATGCATATTAATGAGAATCTGTTTCATCGCTGCCAATTCCTGTTGAAATATGAAAACAAGGAAGTGGCAAATATGATTTCTGACAGAATAATAATGATTGATGCTGAAATATTTCTTTTTCTTTAAGTAGAAGAGATATTTGAAGCAATTACACTACATACATGAGGAAAGCTGTGAAAATAACAAACTATTTACATACAATAATTATGGACGACCCTTAAAATCCTAAATATACTACTTTTAGTATTACAGCTGCCTCTATATGCTGCGGGTCACCAATTTTTCTGTATACTGGAGTCACGCTTGGTGCTTCAAAAGATACCAGTGAAGTCTGTGTACATCCCACCCCGAGACTGTAACATAAACTGGTATGGAATTTGCTCTGTGAGCCACTGCTGCTTTCTACACATATTTGTTCACTAGCCGAGTTAGGCACCATCACTTCTTCCTCATCCTCATCCTTGTCCTCATCCCCTCCCTCCCCTCCATTTCACTGCTGAAAATCAAACACCAGCTTGTGCATGGTAGGCAGTCTCAGTCTGGTAAGTCTCTCTCTCAAACTATCCCATTACCTTATGATGTCCTACATGAAGATGGTAGAGAAATGGAATCCCAATAGTTTTTCCTTGGCTACTCGCCATGGCTTACATCAAGCAGGAGGTTTAATATAGCTTCAGCATCTCTTTAGCTGCATTATTCCTGTAGTCTTTTATAGATGATAATGGAGCTGCCTTCAGTTGCCATATTTTAATTTTTCCAGTCCTAGGGATTGAATCCAGGGCCTTGCACATGCCAGCCAAGTACCTCACCAGTGAACCAAACCTCAGCCTCTCCAGTTGCCATTTTAAAATATTCATTTATTTGTATGATGGTCAGTTTAATTTGAGATAAGGCTGTGCTATTTAGCCATGGCTAGCCTGGCACTCACTTTGTAGCCTAGAATGGACTTGAACTCAAGACAATTCTCCTGGTTTGTAGCCTAGGATGGCCTCGAACTCATGACAATTCTCCTGGTTCAGTCTTCCCAGTGCTAGGATTTTAAGCATGCACTGCCTAGCTTTCAGTTGTCTTGTGAGTGAAAATTAACTATTGAGCTTTGTGAAGAATTTAGATCAAAATGTGCAACGATGTCTACTTTTAAGCCTATTATTTTTCCCTCACAGACAAACTTTTGGCACGTTGTTAGTAGCTATTCATGATCATTTACAAAAGTGATACATCAAACACAATACCTGGGGAGATGGTTTACTAATATTGCCCCACCTTATTTATCTGTAGACGCACGGGCAGACTGTGTACTAGGTGACTTTCTTCCCCCCATTATTTTATCCTCCTGCGAAGACATAAAACAGGGCAACAGAAAGCTACTCTGCTCCCTGCTACTAATCTGTTTATAGACATCGGCAGCTCCATGTCAGAGCAAGTTCCTACAGGCCTTTCTTTTCTGGCTGTCATTAGTTCTATTTAGAACCATTTAGCTAGAGTAGGTATTTTAAAACAGAGCTGCAGAGTTTGAGCATGCTGCCTAAGTGGACGCTAGGGCTGGGAGGGGAGCTGGAACATGTGATGCTTATAATCCTTTCTCCCTTCTGCAGCGCTGCCACTGTCTTGCCCAAGCACATGAGTGACATGTATGACTCCAGACAATTATCTAAGCTTTCTAGGGGCTCATTTTGCTTTCAAGATTGTGTCATTTAATTTATGTATTCCCTTATAGTAAAGAATATAGCCACTGAATTACTGTTAAACATATACAGCATTATGGAAGACTTTATTAAAATTATTTTTTGAGATGGGAGGGGGTCTCATGTAGCCCAGGCTGGCCTTAACCTTTTGATCCACCCCCCACAATCTGTACATCCAGATGGAACCCAGGGCTTTGTGTACGCTATACAAACATTCTATCAAGTGAGCTATATCCTCAGCCCCTTTGGTAGATTTTAGTCCCTATTCTGTTTGTCAGAAAAGGGGAGATAATGGTTTACCAGCTTATCAATAAACACATTTTCATCTGAAAATGTATTTACCAGCTATAAGGTTTTGTATTTTTTGTCTCAACATGAAGATAAAATAGGCAAAATTGACTTCCGACATAACTACTAGTATTCTACAGGTACATAAAGTTTAGAAGAAAGTTTAGTTTATCATAGTTGCTGAGGGAAGAAGAGAGGACAGAGATGAAGAGAAAAGGGAAAAAGCTGAGAGAAAGGAAACCAGAGGGCGTTAGCCCCTAAGTACACTAGAGAGCACGGCTTCTTAAACTTTTTCCACTTGGGATCCCTTTTAGCTGAGAATTAAAATTTTTTTTTGATTTATTTTTATGTATATGAGTGTTATGTCTGCATGTGTATAAGTGCACCTGTGTCATGCAGTGCCCGAGGAGGACAGAAGAGGAGGTTGGATCCCTTGTAATTGTAGTTACGGACAGTTGCTAGCTGCCATGTGGGTGCTGGGATTCAAACCTGGGTCTTCTGAAAGAACAGCTAGCGCTCTTAACCACTGAGACATCTCTCCAGCCCCTCTGAGAATTTTTTTTGTGACCTGGGGTATACAGATATATAAAACAGGTATACAAATCAAACATTTACTAGTAATACATCACAGATTTATTTAAAAACAATTGTTTGACATACATATAATTTTACCATTTACCAAAGACATAAGCAAGTTTGTATATTTAATGAGACAGATGTACTTGTTTACTTTTACACAAATAATCAAATCATATACACACAAAAGAATTAAGTCTCAGTTGAAGAGTTGATATTGCAGGATGTGAAACATCTTCCATGTTTTTCAGACTTTATCAATACTTTGATTTTATAACTGTCAGAACTTTGCTTCACATAAATATGTGGTATAAAATGGTAGAAGTAAGTTTAGGGCTGTTCAGAAATTACTGGAAATTGTCCTAATCTCAAACCAAATTAATTGAACATTTTTTTGTTAATATTAAGTCAGCAACTTAGACAGCAATTTTATTTTTTATTCTTTTAAGACAGGGCCTCCTTGTATCCCCAGTTGACCTAACTCACTATGTAGACCAAGACAGCCTGGATCTCACACAGATCCACTTGCTTCTGCCTCCCCATTCTCCCCATTGCTGGGATTAAAGGCATGCAACATTATGTCAGATCCTAAATAGCAATTTTTTTTTTCTTTTGAGACAGGGCCTCCCTCTCACTAGGTAGACCAGACTGGCTTCAAACTCACAGAGATCTGCCTGCCTCTGCCTCCTAAGAGCTAGGATTAAAGGTATGTGCTACCACCCCCAGCTTCTAAATAGCAATTTTTAAGATCAAACAGTTTTAACATAATAGAGTTGAAAGGTGTACTAATATGTCACATATTGGGGAATAGTGATAGAAAAATATTAAAAGTCTTTGTTTTTCATAAGCTATTAAGAGCAGAAAGCTTTGTATGTACAGTACACTGTAGTTCATACCCTATAATAGTCTCCATTCTGAGCTGAGATATTTCAGGCAGTGGTCCTTGGCAGTATGTGGTGTGAGGGCATGCTCAGCGCCAAGTGTGCATGTTGTGTTCAGAACCAAGGCTGCAGGGAAGCTGTACGATGCTTCATGGGCAAGCATTGCCATAAAAAACTTGGATTCATTCAGTTTGATTTTGAATTAATTTTTGTTTAGAAACCCTGTATTGTTGGCCAATTTTTCACGGCCTCCCCATTCAGTTTCATGATCCCTTAGGGAGTTGTGACTCACAGTTTAAGAAGCTGGGCCCTAAAGGAGGTGTGATTTTGCTTCTCTTTGGCTTTTGCCAGTGTATGTAGGAGTAGATATAAGAAACAGATCTTCCTTCATGTTTGTCAGGAAATTAGAAGGGAAGTTAATGTCTTTGTTTTATCTAGACCATGATTACCCCAATTTGGGATGCTAAGATCATAGCACTACTTTTGTTCATCTGAGAGTAAAAACAAAATTAGCATAGTCTCTGAAAGCTAGATAAAGAACATTTTAAAAGCAGTAAGAGTCTGTAAAATTCTTATTAGGATCATATTGTTATAGTGCATTCCAAAATAATATTTAGAACACGTTTTTCAGGTTTTTAATGGTTGGCTTATATGAGGATTCCTTTACGTGAATATATTAATATAAATGTATTATATAGTAACACCCACATATTTATATTCGTTGCATATGCATATA